GGGCTACATAGTGAGTTCAAGGACAGCCTGAACTACACATCAAGACCCTGTCTCAAAAAAAGAAAAGGAAAAAAATTACCAGAACAAAAATTCTGAAAACCAGTTAATTCTGACCTAGGCAATAAAAGCAATAGGGTTTGAACTCCTTACCTTGTTCTGTGAAAGACTTGTGATTATACATGTAAACGTTACTGTTGTTATAGGGAATCACACTTGCTTCCAGCCAAGCTGTCAAGAATGCCAAGAAGCTGGAGTGGCCTCTCAGTGAAGTTGCAGAAGGAGTTTTTGAAATTGAAGCCCCAGGAGGATACAAATTCTATTTGCAGAATCGCACCCCACCTCAGTCAGGTAATTTTATTAGGACTCATGAAACTCAGTCTAAAGGCTTTTTTGTTGGGAGGAGAGATAGCTGGGTTTCTTTCTTTATATATCGACGTGGTGTGTCTTTCCCAATTCGGTGCTTTTACCTGTTCTCTGAGAAATTCTGTTCTCATGTTAGAGCATCAGTGCATTCACTACAGAGAATCTAGACTGATTTTGTTCTATTGGTAATGTAACTGTTTAGGAATCTTTCAGTTACAGATAACAGAAAACCTAACTCAAACTATTCTGATTTCCTTAAGGGCACTCCCCACCCCAGTACTGGGGATTGGACCCCACAGCCTTTGTGTTGAGCTATATCCCCAGAGTTCATTTTTTGTTTTGAAACAACTCAGCTGGACTAAAACTTGTGACCCTCCTGCCTTAGCTTCCCAGAGTACTGGATTACCCATGTATACCATCATGAGTGACTCAGAGCAGGTAGTCTAAGGGTCTGAAAGATTTCAGGGCAGGCTGATTCAGTGGCTCAGCAATGTTATCAGGAACCCAATTTTTTTTCTATATTCTGTTCTTTTCAGTGCATTTCTCTTAGACCTAGTCCCCTCCCAATTGTATGATGGCTGCTAGTAGTAGCAGCTGGGGCTGCATGCTCCCACATTTACTTTGGGTAGGAGAGGGGAACCTGAGTTCTTAATGTTTTTTTTAAGAGCAGAGCACCTAGGCATGGTGGTACACACCTGTAATCCCAGCATTCAGGAGGCTGAGCCAGGAGTATTGTCATGAGGTTGGTCTGTGCTACATAATGGGTTCAAGGCCAGCATGGACTACATGATGAGACCTTGTCTCAAAAACCAAACAGGGCTGGGTGGCATGGTAGTGCACAACTGTAATCCCAGCATTCTGGAGGCTGAGGCAAGAGGATTGCCACAAGTTTGAGGCCAGCCTGGGCTACATAATGAATTTAAGGGCAACCTAAACTGCATAGCAATACGCTGTCTCAAAAAATAGCAAAATTTTTCCTGGAATCATCCACCTAACTTCATGGTCAGGTGTAATATACTGTACCTGCCCCTCAACCAATCATTGGCAAGAGAAATAAGATTATCCCTAGACCAGGTAGCTGTACCTCATGAGCTGAGGTCAGTTTCCCAAACTCTAGCGCTGCTTCTCAGTGAGTGAGGGGTGAGACAGAAATGAGCTCACCACACTGAAGGGAAGAAGCCTCACAAGGTGTGTTTTATTTGTGGTAGGTAAAGCTTTAGCACATGTATTTAAGCTCTACAGACCCAACTACATCTCTGTCTAAAGAAAAGCAAAAGCAAGCGCATGCGTGTGTGTGTGTGTGTGTGTGTGTGTGTGTGTGTGCGCGCGTGCATGCACACACGCATGTGCTACGGAAGGCGAGGGCAGTGCCGCTTGCCCTTTCATCCAATGAGCGTGTGCCTGTAAGTGACCTGAGATGAGAGCCAGATTCTTTTCCCCACTGGTCTGCCTCAGCTCCCAAATGCTTAGTCTGATTGTAGTGTTCAGTGCTACTTGTTTTTCATCTGGTACTCAGCAAAAGAAAGACCAAATCGTTCTGATGTGTGAGGTTGGACCGGTTGTGTGGGACTTACTGAGAAGTGGTACTTTTGTACTTCACCGGAGACTTACGGAAGTTTTAGAGGTTTTTTGTTTTTGTTTTGTTTTGTTTTTTTATAAGTGGGAATCGTTATTTTATATACTGACTTTAAACCTTAACTCTTTTTCCTTTTTTTGTCTTTTCAAGGCAGGGTCTCACTATGCAGTTCAGGTTGGCCTTGAGCTCACTTTGTAGCCCAGGTTGACCTCGAACTCAAAACAATCCTCCTGCCTCAGCCTCCCTCGTGCTGGGATTACAGGCATGCGCCACCACGCCCGGCTGAATTTCAGATTTTTAGATTAGGGATGATCACCCAGTGAAGTCTGCAAATTTTCCAAAATCTGAAAAACTTCAAAATCTGAAACACCTCTGGCTCCAAGCACTTTATTTAAGAGATACTCAACCTGGACTTAAAATAATGGCGAGTGCCACAATACTAATTTTTTTTTGTCCTCTGCAATGGTAATGTCTTTGGGGTATTAATCTCCCACTGGTAATGTAGTCAAATCTGTCAGGCTGGCTGGCATCCACTCTGCCTTTCAATGCCTCAGTCCTGTGTAGTTTTACCTGATTTCCATTCCTGTCCCTGTATCTCTTCAGGCTCTGGGTCAACTAGGGTTTGTTATTTTGAAACAAATGGAAAAAACAAATTGAATCTGCCAAGAAGAGGCACCTGTGAGAAATGCTACTGACTGAGCCACACCCCTAGCCAGGTGTTAAGTGCTTTAATATAACTTTTGTTCTTTTTACAAAATAATGTATTTTTGGGCCGGGGATATAGCTCAGCAGTGCAAGCGCCTGCCTGGCAAGCGCAAGGTGCAATTCCCAGTATTAAAAAAAAAAAAAAGTAAAACAAAATAATATATTTTTAAAAAATAAGCACACATGTTATACATATGTGCACATGTTCATATATACACACAAAGCAAAAAACGAAGAGAGGCCAGGCATGGTGAATGCCTGTAATCCCAGCTTCTTAGGAGGCTAAGGCAGCAGGATCTCACGTTTGAGGCAGTCTGGCACTTAGCAAGGTAGTGTCTCAAAGTAAAATTCTTAATAAAAGAACAGGGTATAGCTCAATCACAGAGTGTTTGCTTTGCATGCACAAGGCCCTGGGTTCAGTCTTCAGTAAGACACACACACAAAAGCAAGAAGAAAGCAGCAGCACATGTCCAGCCATAACCACTGTGAAGGTTTTAGAGTATGTTTCCAATCTTGTATCCAAAAATATGTCCATACCCTTTAGTAATCCATTCCAGGAATTCCATTGCATTATTACATTGTAGGAAGATAAACAATTCTCTTCTGTTAAATATTTGTGTTGTTCCTAGAGTTTCATTGTTCTGGGCGATGCTGTACTGAATGTCTTTGTGATGAAAGCCCTTCATACATCGGCACTTACTTTTTGAATTGCTGCAAGTAGACTTGTTCTTCTTTCAACAATGTATATTTTCAAAGTTTTTGATATATTGTCAAATCACTGCCCAGAAATGTACTAATGTACACACCCCCAAGGATCACCCCCTACTGGATGGTTAACCCTGTTATCTTTTAAAATTATTTACCAAATGAACAAAAAAATAAAAGCACACACATAAATGTTCCCCAGTTGGATAAAAGATTTTATTTGAATTCTAATTTCTTTGACTGTGAAATTAAATAATTTTTCAAATGTTCATTGATCATTCCAGTTCTTTTTGTGAACTAGTTTGTGCCTTGCTGATTTACATACTAAGGACTTTTTGTTCTGTGTGTTATAAAAATTTTTCCCTGCTTTGTTGTTCACTCTTAATTTTAATTGTAATTCCTTTCCCCCAGTAGTAGGGATAGAACCCAGGGCTTTGTGCATGCTAGGCAAGCGCTTTACCACCAGCCCTGTAATTGTTTTTTTGGTTGTTGATGTCTAATGGTTTTCTACCTTGTGTGATTAACCTAGCAGACTTTTTTTTATAGTTTTTCTATCTTTGTTCAGATTTAAACACAAATCTTGTTCCAACCCAACCTGTGTTTATATTTTATTGGTTTCATTCTTTAAACTTAATTTCTTAACCCATCAGGAATGTATTTTGCTATTCAGTTGCAACTATTCTTTTCAATATGTTCAATATGTAACTATTTCTTTCTTGGTTTCTTTTTTCTTTTGGTTTTTTTGAGACAGGGCTTTGCTATGTAGTTCAGGCCAGCCTTGAACTCACAGCAGTCTTCTTGCCTTAGCCTCCCAAGTGCTGGGATTATGCCCAGCTTTAGTGCCATTTTTGAATAATATGCCCTTTCTTACTGACTTAAAATCCTTTTTTGTCATTACCTAAATGGGTTGGGGGCAGTGGTTTCTGAGGACCAAACCTGAGCTTGCACACGCTAGGCATGCACTCCACCAGTAGGCTACACCCCATAAACTACACCCTTACATGTACATAAGCCTGTTTGGGTGTTTTTATTCCACTCCACTGGCCTGACCTGTCTTTTCCTGCTGTCTTATTCTCCTGCAGATCCTGTATTAAAAGTAACTCTAGCAGTGTCTGATCTTCAGAAATCCCTGAACTACTGGTCTGATCTCCTGGGAATGAACATTTATGAACAGGATGAAGAAAAGCAGAGGGCTTTGCTGGGCTATGATGAAAACCAGGTGAGTGATCTCAGAGAGTTTCTAAGTGAGTTTTACGTAAAGGTTGTTCATAGTTTCTTCACAGTGATTTGGTATACATACAGATAAACAGAAAATAAAAGTTAATGGTAACCTCACTGCTTAAGAATTACTTTTCTATTTGGGGATATATCCTTTTAGAAGTAGAATGGGCTGGGGATGTGACTCAGTGGTAGAGAGCTTACCTAGCATGTTTGAGGCCCTAGGTCGATTCTCAACACTCCAAGAACACAAAAGAGTGAGCAGTGAGATTGCGTAGTCAGAAAAGATATAGACAAGGTTTAATCTGTGATCATAACCTAGCATTTGAACCTTACTGAATCCTTATACTCTGACCCAACAATTCTACTTCCTAGAATTATTTTATAGATGTCTTCCTCATACATACACAAAAAGAAGCATATACAAAGTTATCTATTGTAACATTGTTTGCATTAGCAAAATATAAGAACCTCTATGTCCTGTGGATTACAGTGATATTTCAATGACTCATTAATAAAAGGGATTATTATATAGCTATCAAAAAGACTGGTATAAGTCTTTATGTGCTGGTGTGGTATTGTGCTACCATTTGTGTGAAAAAGAAACACAGAGCTAGGTACAGTGGCAGGTCTGTAAGCCCAACTAGTCTGGAGGCTGAGGCAGGAGGACCACAAGTTCAGGGCCAGTCTGGACAACTTAGTGAGGCTGTCTCAAAATTAAAAAGGGTTGGGAAAGGAGCTCAGCTCACCCCGGCTTCAACTCTCAGTACTAGAAAAATATGTAAATAAAAATTTAGAAGGGCTTGAGATTTAATTCTGTGGTAGAATATTTACCTAGCATGTTTGCCTAATCCATGCATGAAGTCCTGGGTTCCATTCCCAATACCATAAAAAAAAGAGAGAGAGAGAGAGAAAACAACAAGGAAAGGATGGAGAAAGAGAGGTAGGAAATGTATCTAGAAGGATACATGAGAAATTACCACTGATTGCCTTGGGTAACAGGAGGGAGACTTCGTTTTTACTTTACTCTTTTAGTACTATTTAATTTTTTTTAAACTACATTCATGTATAATTTGCATGAAAGCATAAACCCACCTCCTTATTTCTTTTCAGTGTAAGCTGGAGCTCCAGGGCATTAAGGACTCAGTTGATCATGCAGCAGCTTTTGGAAGAATTGCCTTTTCTTGTCCCAAGAAAGAGGTAAGGTTTGATTACCTGATCTTTTGTTTAAGCTCTTTGACAGACTAGTTCAATCCAGCTGAGAACCTTGGCCTTGCTTTCTTACATGCATTCTGATTGTGGCTTTGGTATCAAGTTCAGCAGTTGTTTGAAAAACTACTGAGATAACAAAATCAAACAAGTGGTGCCTTGGTTCTTTCTGATCAGCTATTCCCCTAGCACTAATGAGGATCGTGTCATAACAGTAGTGGGTGACCTTTGCTAACTTCACCTTTTTGTTTCCTCCAGTTGCCAGACTTAGAAGACTTGATGAAAAGGGAGAATCAGAAGATCTTGACTCCCTTGGTGAGTCTTGATACCCCTGGGAAGGCAACAGTACAAGTCGTCATCCTGGCCGACCCTGTAAGTATTATCACAGCAAGGAGACAGACAGGCTGTACCAGGGTCTCTTCAGAGACACCTTTTTTGCCAAATTGTTTTTTCTTTACTGGTATAGGATGGACATGAAATTTGCTTTGTTGGGGATGAAGCCTTTCGAGAACTTTCTAAGATGGATCCAGAGGGAAACAAATTGTTGGATGATGTGAGTCTCATTTTTATATTTTTTTATATCCGCACAGCCTAAGGAGGATGGTGTACAGTGTATATGGGAAGGGCCAAAGCAGCAGGGCCCCTGGTTCTTACTGTCAGAACCATGCCCTTTGCTGTTGGGATGACTTTTTAGCCTGGGACCTGTGTCTTCATGGACACCTGTGCGACCTCTCTGTGGACTCGGCATCCGCACCTTCCCACAGCCTCCAGCTGCCTTAGGGAACCTCTGCAGTATAAACAAACATCATTAGTCCGCTCGGTGAGTGGAAATACCGTGCCTCTCACTTGCTTAGCCTGTGGGGCATCTCACCTCCTACACAGCATTAGTCTCTTCCTTCTTAATGAATTGTTCTCATCCGCATACAAGCAAGCTCCAATAGCTCCCATTTTTTGAACACCTTTTATTGACCCTATCCCTTCGGTACATTTTTTTAAAGCTTAGTATGTTTGCAGTACATAATAATTACACTGCTTGCGAGGGGTTGGTACATGTACATAATGCATCGTAATTCTTTGTTTATCCCCTTCTCTTTTCTTTCCCTCCCTCTATCTCTTGGTCCCCTTCCCATGTGCAAAAGTTCTGTCTCCTTACTCTCTGTTATCTTTTATTTTGCTCTTTGTTTATAATTTGAGTTTCTCAGGTGAGAGAAATCATGTGATATTTAAGCTTGTGTGTCTGATTTCACGTAACATGGTTTCAAGGTTCATCTACAAATGATTCAGGTTTATCTTGCTTTATGGCAGAGTAGTATTCCACTGTATATAAATATCACATTTTCTTTATCCATTCATCTGCTGATGGATATAAGGCTGCTTCCAAGAGTTAGATGTTATAAATGGTGCTGCTATAAACATGGACATACATGTGCCACCGTAAAATGATGTCTTTAACTCAGGAAGGTGGTTCAAGGGAAATACGTGGGTCAAATGGAGTTTCTAGTTTTGGATTTGTGAGGAATCTTCATACTGACTTCAATAGTGGCTGTGCTAGGCTGCCTTCCTACCAGCAATATAGAGGGATTCCTTTCCCCCTACAGCCTCTCCAGCATTTGCTGTTTGTTGATTTATGACAGATTTCTAACTTAAAAGTCCATCTCTCACTTAGATTTCAGTCTTCCCTGCAGTAGCTCTTGTGTCTCAGTTAAGTCCTTTTATGTCATTTACATCATTGGTGATGTCCATCGTGCCAAATCCAGCAACTGCTTTCCTATTTTAGTCACACTTGATTTTTCAGCAGTTTTCAAAGCATTGAAAACTGCTCACTGTCGCATCCCAGTTTCTGGCACATACCTGGAGTGTAGCAGATATTCTCCCAGTGCTTTTTTTTTTTTTTTTTTTAAAGACAAGATCTTGATATGTTACTCAGGCTGACCTTCTGCGCTCAGGCGATCTCCTGCTTCGGCCCCCTGAACAGCTGGGGCTGTAACTGCGGAGCACTGTACCCAGCTCCCCTCTCAACACTTTATTGACAAGGAGTCAGTCTATCCCAGGTCGGTTGGGTAACATCTGTGAAGCGCTGTGAGCAATTTTTGAAGAAGTTTCTGTTCTTTTGTCTGCTTACCTAAAATTTTGAGGAAATAATAATAATTTTTTCATGGGATTGTTGTGTTAATTAAGGCAGATGCTCAATTAATATTAAAGCAGGCAGTGTGTAAGAAATGCAGCCTTTATAAATTTTATCATGCAGGAAAGTAGAATCTTAAGCAGCCTATCAGTTGGCAGATTTGCTGGATTCTTCTACTTTCCTGCTGTTGACAAACTTCCTCCTCCTTTGAACTCTCTTCTCCTTTGGTGTTTGAGATCCTGTAGCAAATGCCTCAGCATACACACGCACACACATACTCCCTTGTGTAAAATAATTGTTTCCATAGCTGAGTCTTCAGCTGTTCGGCATACTCCCCAAAGCCTCAGACCATCTCTTCTGCCCCACCTGATCCCAGCATGGAACCTAGCTTATGAGGAAAACTTGTCTGTTTATTATTTTAGTGGTATTGAGGACCAAACCCAGAGCCTTGACACTGAACTACATCTCTAGTGCTTTTTATTTTTTTGAGACAGGTTCTCACTAAGTCCCTTAGTTGGCCAGGCTAGGCTCAAACTTGTGATCCTCCTGCCTCAGCATCCCAGAGTGTTGCAGTTACAGGCATACACTACCACACCTGGCTGAAAACTTTTTTTGTTAGAAAGATATTTCCAGCCAGGTATGGTGGTGCATGCCTATAATCCCAGCACTCGGGAGGCTGAGGCAGGAGGATCGCCATGACTTTGAGGCCAGCGTGGGCTATGTAGAGAGTTCAAGGCCAGCCTGCACTACAAAGTGAGACCCTGTTTCAAAAAACAAAACAACAACGATATGGTGGTATGGTATGCTGGTATCCACCAGCATCTCCTCGCATTCAACAAAATGCACCAGATGAACACTCTTTAAACGTTCATTTCTCCTCTGCGGACTGTGCAGTGAAGTACAAAGCAAGCTATATCTTTCATTTTTCAGACTGGGAACAAATGTATATTCAATTTTTGTTTCTATAGGCAATGGCAGCAGATAAAAGTGATGAGTGGTTTGCTAAAAGCAATAAAGTAAAGGCTTCGGGTTAATGGAAGACATCACGTGGAACAAGCATTTGTAATCCCCATCCAGCACCTGGAGCTCTGATGTATCTGCTTATGATAAATGTTCTTACTACTTAGTGGTGTCCTGTACAGGCAAGGAGGCCTGGCTGGTGGAGATTTGTGTATTTCCATCTTTGAAAGCACTGGTATGTTTTAGAAATGAAATGTGATTATCATTGCTCCAAGTAAAGGAGAATTACTGCTATAATCTGCACTGTCACTGGGATGGCACATTCTAGGTAACTGTATTAAATTAGTAACAAATTATTTTCTAGACTAGGACAGCTCTATGGGACTTTCCTCTTGGTTGGGGATGGGAGGAGTGTTACATTTTGAGTAGCCAGAGGACAGACAGAAGGATTTGATGTTTTGACAACCCTGACATGTGTGCTAGCTTCTTTATAATTTTTTAATCCTCTCAAGAAAGGATCTTAAAATAGGTTATATTATTTCTTCAGCCTGAAAAAAATTTGTTTTCTCTTTGATTCTGTACAAGTTGATTTTACTCCCTGGAAACAAAATTGTATTTGGTATATTCATTATTAAATTTTTAAAAAATGTTTCATATATTATGTATATGGTACAAATTCCCTATGATGAATGTGATCATTATGTATACCAATAAAATTAATTTTTAAAAATGCTTCTGAACTCCGGAGAGTGAGGCAGGAGGATTGCTGAGAGTTTGAGGCCAGCCTGAGCTAATAGCAGGACACTGTCTCAAAAGACAAAAAGAAGCTGCTGACATTAGGCTGTTGTGTGAGTCTTTATGTCTCATTATTTAAAGTGGTAACTAGGTTCACTTTAGAGAATAAACTAGAGAGACTAGAAAGGATTGACTCCAAGGATACCAGTTCCAGAATTACTCAGAAAAAAATTTCTGTTAAGCCAGGTGTGGTGGTGCACGCCTGTAATACTAGCTCTTGGGAGGCTGAGGCAGGAGAATCGTTGTGAGTTTGAGACCAGTCTGGGCTACAAAGTGAGCTCAAGGCCAGTCTGAACTGCATAGTGAGACCCTGTCTCAAAAAGACCAAAAAAAAAACATTTCTGTTAAATGACAACCTCTGCTGTTCTCCCTTAGTGGCAGTTTCCAGGTGAATTTCAGCTTCCCTTATCACAAGGGTGATCTTACTTTACTGGGAGGAAAAACATCTTTGTCTAGCTCTACAACACCTTTCATTCAGTTTAAATTCACTGTCTTAGGGAAAATTATGAATTTCAAAGCAAACAAGTTATGCATTCCTCCTTTTGGTAACTTTTTTCCTATACAAACTGCTGTGTCTCTATGATTTGTTAATTCTCAAATTTTCTACTAGGTATTAAGCAATTCTTAGTGTTTATCTCTACTAATACTGTACTGTTCTCATGAAAAGAAAGTACTATACTATCCCCAGTGTGTTGGAATGCTTTGAGGGAGCCTTCTAAGTTTGTCATTGTAAAATAAGTGGCTTATGTAAGTACTGAATAACTAAACACATACTAGCTCTCTATCTGCTTATCTTGAATTTTAATAGACCAGAGTGTTTCTCTTAAATGTACAGCAGTGAATGATAGAGGGCACCACGCATGGTGGAAATTAATGTTGCTTATTCACCTGGAACTTGCTGGCTTTAAGAGATCAACCTCCTTTCATTTATTTCACTGTCATGATTTCCTTTGTTGTGATCTTTAATATTTTATTTACCCTTAAGTCATTTAGTGTATAACTTTGGCCTTTATCAAGGAATCCTGAGGTTTGCTTCTGCGTAACCCAGCTAGTAATTTTAAACTAAAAGTTATGATTTTCCATTTCAGTGGGGATGGTATGATCAATGAGAAAATGAGATTATAGAAAATAAAAGGCAGCAGCGGCCTCGTCGTT